CCAGAAAGCTCCAATGGAGCCAGCTGGGGGATTTGAACCGTCAGCCTTCTAGTGAGGAGTTTTGAGTGCTAATGATTTCAGCCACCAGAGTTGGCCAAATATTATGTGTTGACTACCCTACCCCATCACTGCCCTACAATGCCTCCTCTGTTGTGTACTAAATTTCCAAATGTTTTAGTGAGCCCACTGTTCTGTTTCACTAATCTATATCAAATCATGGTGTGGACCCAACCTTTGAATTACTACAAGCTTTATAGTATGTTATACCTCACACTGTTAGTTCACTCATCCTTTCTCACTGTTTGTGTTTGTATATAAATTTTAGAATCAATTTGACTTGCCCTCTCCCTGGTACATCTCTTATTAGCATTGTGTTCACATTATATATTTAGGAAAAATAAATACTTTATAATATCATGCTTTCCTGTCCATGAATCCAGCCCTCCTTCTCTATTTCTCTGACCTGTTTTAAAGTCATCCTCATATAGAAGAAATTTGTTAAGTTCAAGCCTAAAGGTTTTATAGGTTTTGTGGCTTGTATGAATAAAATTACTTCTTTCTTTTTTATTTTCTAACTGGGCATTGTTCATAATAGGAAAACTATCAAATTTATTACCAACCACTTCACTGAATTCACTCGTATTTTCCGTCCATGATGATGCTGTCATTTACTCAGTTAATAATCAGTTACTTTATGTGGGGCTAAGAAGACATTCCATCACCCAGCACTCATGCCAGCCATAGAGTGATGCTACTCTTACATCTCTGCATTTAGTATTATTTTCTTAATTGCAAACTATTTCAAACATAGGAAAATATTAGACGCTAACATCCTGTTGTCCATACTTAACAGATACTTTTGCCATAGTAGCAGCAGATCTCTCCTTTTTAAACAAAAAGAACTTACTGTAGGTATATCTAAAGCCCTCCACTCTGGTCTCTTCTTCCTTTCCAGAGTAAATACTGTACTGTAGTTGGTGTCTCCTATTCGTATGTCACTACTGCATATTCATATTTTTTTAATTGTTGCACAATGTACATAGGAAACTCATTCATTTGACCATTTTTACATGTACAAGTCAGAGGCATTCGTTACGTTCACCACGTTTTGCATCTATCACTACTATCCGTTTTTAAATCTTTTCATTGCCCTTAATAGAGAAACTCAGTGCCCCTTAAGCAGTAACCCCATTTATATTGTTTGGTATTTTTTAAATGTCTGCATGTAGTGTGTATTTTATCAATGTTTTCTTGACTTTTGAAGGGGTTTCAAAAAAGTTTTTGTGCAAAAACAGAATGAAAGATAATGGAATCTTATCATGAGGTTTAAAACTCCCTCATTTGCCCATAGGAGCTCTGGTGGCATAGTGGGTTATGCATTAGGCTGCTAATTGCAAGGTCAGCAGTTTGAATCCACCAGGTGCTCCTCAGGAGAAAGGTGGAAAGATTCACAGCCTTACAGAGTTACATTACTGTGAGTCATAACCAACTCGATGGTGCACAACCTCCACCAACCACCACCAGATTCCCGCTATCAAAATTCTAACCTTTATAGAAATATATGGGACAGAGTTACCATTCTCCTTAATGACCTCATGTTGTGTTGTTGTTAAGTGCCATTGAAAAGCAATATTTGCATTAAAGTGTGTCATTTTTTTTTCCTACACTATTAGGTTACATGTAGTAAAAACAAACACAGTCTAAGCTACATAATAAAGAATGCTTTTCAGAGGGAAAATAGTAGAGATAATGTGTTTTCTATCATACATGTTCTTTACCAAGAGTTCTTTGTTCTGTTTAAAAAGAGAAAAGAAAGAAATCTCAAGAAAAGTTACTGGGACTTCAAGGGGGTTTCAACAGGGAAAGCTATCATTGTTCCCACCACAGAGCAGCAGACACAATATAGACTTGATTTCTGCCCTGATAGGAGCCAAGGCTTGCAGACAGCCTTGATGAGCAGCTGGTAAACTTGGAGCGCATATAAGACAATCAGAGGAAGTCTACATATAAACCTCCTCATGCGAAGAAAGGTGGTTTTTCCATTTGCCTTTTTCTGAGCAATTTAACTTCCTAATTACATGATCCAAATTGTTTCAGAGACTATGTAAACCATATGTTTGTTAAATGATACAGATAAATATGGGGAAGTCTGATTAGCATCAACTTCCCTCAGGAAAGGGGTTTCTTTCTGGACCCAACATAGCCAGCCTGATATTTACTGGACAGGGATACGTAAGCACAGAGGGAAATAAACTTGTAAATAGCTGCATCTGGTATAGAATCCCCTGCCCTCTGTCTTAGACTCAGCCACGTATTTTGTATTTTCTGAGCATGGCTGTGCTAGTCTGAATGCAGTCTCAGGAGCGCGCTGGAGATGATCTTGCCACGTGAGCTTTCAATTAATACAGATTGTTATCTTAGCAATGAGGACATTTGATCAGAAAGGCAATATTTTGCTTTTGATAATTATGTTTGCTATTTTTGAAGGAAGATTCCATCAAACTAAATTTCAGAAAGAACTGTAAAGTTTTTTTCAAGCAAAGCTAGAAGTGGGTAGTAGACAAGCAGAAATCAAAACCAAATGAAAGAAAATTCCAAGAAACTTTGGACCAAGTGACCTCTTCTGAAATGTCTAGCACATTTAATTGGGTACAAAAACTTCTTTCTCATTTACCTTAGCTCATGCATTTGCACTTGTTGTTTTAAATAGATAATAGATGTTGTTCCTAAAATATATTAAAATTTATGGCATAGTCACTCATTCAGTCAATAATGATTTATTGCTTCCCCATATTTAGTTGTAATGGGGCAGTTCCAGGCAAGTATGACCAAGTTGTTGAGTGTGTATGCAAGTGATGATTACCACTAGGTGTACCAAGAAATTCATCTGGGTAATTAATACACATGGGTGAAGGGCATGAGAAATAGAGAGTCAATGGAAGTGGTGGGTTAAAGAATTGTTGGAGTTGAGGATTAGAAGTGGTGTTGAGTGATAAAGACCTGAGGTAATGGTTAGATGATGCTGTGTTTGACAGTGAGGTTATGAGACTGTTGTAATTGATAGTAATGACAAATCCTGACTGTGGTATGCATGGGTGGCTGAAGTAAATCATTGGAAAAGAGAAAGTCAGGGAATTGAAAGATCAGAGTATAGGAAATGCCCACTGTGTGGAAACTGAAACATCTTGACTAATGAAAGAAGTAGTATTGGAAAAGAGACTGTGAGCCAAAAACTAAATTCTTGAAGGAGCATGGAGAGTGGTCCGTGTGTTTGGATGGCAATGACTGTGAGTTTAAGGCTGAGGGCTTTTCAGAATAATGGTCTAGAATCAGCAGTGAGAAGCAAGCAGACTCGTCGCTCACCTTTCACCAGGCAGAATGCCTTCAGAGGGAGCAGAGCCTCTGGGGAGAGCCAGACTTCTTTAGGACCAGAAAGTAAAGGGAGTACTCAGAGTAGAGGCTGACCATGGATGGTGCTGCACTGGACTGCTAACTACAAGGTTGGAGGTTCAAATCCGTCACCAGCTCTGTGGTACTTAACAACAGCAACAACCATGAAGGAGTCCTGGGGGTGTAGTCAGTTACACGTTGGGCTGCTAACCTCATGATCAGTAATCTGAGCCCTCCAGCCGCTCAGCTCAGCGAGAGAAAGATGAGACTTTCTGCTCCCATAAAGATTAAAAGTCTCAGAAATCCTATACAGGGTTGCTGTGAGTCAGGACTAACTTAATGGCACACGATTATCACCACCACCACTGCATGGCTGACTGTATGTTCCCAAAGGACCTCTGGGATGGGTTCAAGAACTGAGTTGCTGAAGGAGGTGGGCCCAGATTAGGGATGTACACTGTGCCATCAGGATGAAAGTCTAGGGCAAAGGAAGGATTCTGGGGCTTTGGGGCATGAGCTGAGTCCCTGGGAGGTACAAACAGTTAATATGCTCAACTGCTCTCAAAACGTTTAGAGGTTCATGGCCACCCAGAAGGACCTCAGAAGAAAGGCTTACTGACCTACTTCTAGGAAAGCAGCCATTGAAAACCCTGTGGAGCACAGTTGTACTGTGACACACACAAAGTCACCCCTGAGTCAGAATTGATTGTATGGCATGGGTTTTTTGGAAGGTAGGTAGCATAAGCAGAGGTCATGGGATGATGGGATTGATCTTGGTTTCTGAAGCAGATTAGAGGCTGTGAGTATTGGAGAGAGGCCAGATGCCAGCAGACCTCCTGGGCTGTTCTTTCCTGTGCATGGTGGTTTGGAGGCTAAGGTTGGAGCATTGTGCCTCACAGCGTGTGCAGGCTTGGGACTCCTGCTTTATCCTGTGAGTGGAGGTGCAGAAGGCTGTTGGAGCATTACCAAGATGCATGCAAATCTCGCTCATAACAGACTTAAAATGTAACTTAGAGGGCTTGGTGATTTAAAAAAAAAGAAACATTGATTTTATTACAGTTTAGTACATTACAGAAACAAAGTAGTGAACAGGTTTAATTCTGGGCTCTTTGTATTGATCCAAGGAACACAGGTTAAGTTCTTGGCTGTAAACCTAAGGTCAGTAGTTTGAAGCCACAAGCTACTCCATAGAAGAAAGATGTAGCAGTTAGCTTTGGTAAAGATTACAGCCTTAGGAATCCTGTGCATGCAGTTCTACTCTGTCTGTCATCATTGTTATTGTTGTTAAGTACCGTTGAGTCGATTCCAACTGCGGCTGGTGGGTTGGATCCACCAACCTTACAGTTAGCAGTCCATTGCCACACCAGAACTCTGTCTATAGTGTTCCTGTAAGTTGAAGTCAACTCAACCAGCAATGCTTAGGTTTCATTTTATATTGATTCATAATCAGTGGTTATAACTCATACTTCAATTCTTATTTTAAAATTAATTATCCTTTTCGTGCTCATTATGCCCTACCAGATTCCCCCAAAAGGTAACTTGAAATCTGACAAATGTCACTGTCTTACATACTGAGTAACTGACTATTTTTCTTTCCTTTCTCCTGATAGTGAAGAAAGCTACAACGTCACTGATTATTCTTTAAGGGATCAGCTACTGATCCCTTTTGACAACGGACAATCTTTTGACAACGAAGAGCTAAATTCTTCTCCAGGGAAGAACAGTTCCACAATGCTTTATTCAAGACAGAGCTCTGCCAATCACCTCTTCACTCTGAGAGTACTTAGTAACCATGCAAACGAGAAAGTGGACATGCTGCTAGGGGCTGAGACACAGTAAGTATGTGAAGGGAGGAGATTCCAGAGTATCTCATCCTGACTTTCCCCACCTAACTGCCTAGTAACAAAAGGAAACAAGCTGAACCACATGGCCCATTCTGACTGATGTCCTGGTGACACCATGTGTTACAGAGTAGAACCGCTTCATAAGGTTTTCTTGACTACGAGCTTTATGGAGAAGACAGACCACCAGGCCTGTTCTTTAATGGTGTTCCTTGGTGGGCTTGAACCACCAGCATTTTAGCTTCACCAAAAAATCAGACCTGTTGGCTATTAAGTAGATTCTGATTCTTGGTAACCTAATTCTGTTAAGAGTACAACTGCTCTATAAGGTTTTCTTGGATGTTATCTTTGTGGAAGAAGCTTGGCAGGCCTATCTTCCATAGTGCTGCTGGGTAGGTTCAGACCCTCAACCTATAAGTTGGTAGGCAAGCACAAGCCATTTGCACCCCCCGGAGACCTCTGTCAACAACAAGAGTGGTAATGGTGGTGGCTGTGTGCCATCAAGTCGGTTCAGACTCATAGAGACCCCTGTATCTAAGTCTTTACGGGAGCAGCAAGCCTCATTTTTATCCTGTGAAACAGCTGGTGGATTAAAACTGCTGACCTGTAACTACTGTTTAATCAGTGTCTACTTACTGTGTGCCAGGCTTTTAGTGCAGTTGCTTAATGTTGTTATTGTTGTTAGGTGCCATCAAATCGGTACCGACTCATAGCAGAACGAAACACTGCCCGATCCTGGGCCAACCTCACTACTGTTGCCACGCTTGAGTCCATTGATGCTGCTACTTGGCCAATCCATCTCGTTGGGGGTCTTCCTCTTTTTCTCTGACCCTCCACCTTACCAAACATGATATCCTTCTCCAGTTGCTTAATAGAGATTCTCTTTTTCTCATTGTAATCCTTTCGATGTCTTTGAGGCATGCACGTTGTCATTTTTGTCCCTGTTAGCCCTATTGTGAGGAGCCCTGGTGCCACAGTGGTTAAACACGCAGCTGCTTACCACAAGGTAACCCACCAGCTTCTCTGCAGGGGGAAGATGTGACATTCTGCTTCCACTAAGATTACTGCCTTGGAAATCCTATGGGGCAGTTTTCCTTGGTTCTGTAGGGTCTTTGTGAATCAGAATCAACTCAGCAGTAATTGTGAAAGCCCAGGTGGGTGCATTGTATTGTCTTGATTTTGATGTGTTGTTAAGTGTTATTGAGTTGGTTCATACTGAGTGACCCTGTGCAGGGTTTCCAAGGAGCAGCTACTGATTTTAAACCATCAGCCTTGTGAAGTGGTTTAAAAATCATTTTATTGATAATTGACAAAAATGTGACCACCAATCCCTAAGGAATATAATTCAACTAGAAGTTGAATCTAGGGAGTGCAATGCCTCCATAGGATAAGCACTGGTTTGTGAACCACAAAGTCAGTGGTTCGAGCCCACCAGCCTTTCTATGGAAGAAAGATGAGACTTTGTGTGTCTTAAAATTTTGTTAGTTTTTTTTTTTAATTTTTTTTTTATTGTGAATTGATAGTTTACATGAGAGAGCATCAGCTTTACATTCATCCTATCATATTTAGTTTCATTGCAATGATTTCAATCCCCTCCATGCGTCATCATTCAATAGCATTTGCTTCCAATCCCAAAGCACTCAGGAATATATAGCCATTCAGACAACCGAAGGGTATACCCTGCACACCAGCCCCCCATCACCAGCACACAGCCCCTCTCCCTCCCTGAGTCCAGAGACCCCAGCTGCGCCATCTCTCCACATCATCGTCTCTGCCTCTGTCTCTGGCATTGCTACTTCTCTGGATAGGGTCCCCGCACTCTGTTCTTCTTTCCTGATGGTCCCAGGATCCTCCACTTCTGGACTGCAAGATCAACCACTCCCTTCTTTTAGTTTACAAAACATGTACCTTTACATTTGCAACATTCACAATCCTTTTAAAAGTCTGAAACCCTACATAGGGTCACTATGAGTTAGAACCAACTTGCGGGCACTTAACAACAAGTTTGAGTCTAGGCCATAAATGTTCTTAGATCGTGAAATTAAAGCCATTTCTCAATCACTTCTGTCTTTTATCGAACAACAGAAAGCCATTGACTTTGTCAAAAGATATACTCAGTTAAAATGTATTGATAAACCTTCCATCTAATCCAAAGGCAAAGCAGACATCCTATTTTATTAGCAGTTAGCTTTCAGTCCATCCTCAAGCAGAAAGAGGGAAAAGCTGTTAAAATTTTCAAGTCCATGGTAGTAATTTCATCCATTTCGAGATCGTTGACCGATTTATTGTTTTGTTTTGGAAAATTGAAACCTATTTGGAAGAGTCATTACTCATTGCCATTGAATCAGTTCTGACTCATAGGACAGTAGAATTGCCCCCTATGGGGTTTCCGGTGCTGTAAGTCTTTACAGAAGCAGATAGCTTCATCTTTCTCCAGAAGAGCAATTGGCCGATCCAAACCTCCACACTTTCATTTTGCAATCCACACTTAACCTCTGCACCACAGAATTCCTTCAGTCATGAAGAGGAGGCATGATGTGGAGTCAGAGAGTGGGAACACCAGAGAGAAAAGGGACATTATCTAGTTTATCCTCTTAAGTTCCTACCTACCTTTCCCAGCCCAGGCCTGCCAAGGTTTCCATGTGTGGTGATTTAAATGGACCAGCAGCTGGGGGATCACAACACGAAGACTATTAACAGCAAAAGCTTACTTGTCTTTTCTGATAGAGAAAATACACCTAAAGGAATATGTCCACTTATCATTAAGAGTTTTCAAGAGTGCTCCCTGACCATTAAAAAGAGGCATAAGAAAAATGTGAAAATTACAGATTGTCTACATAAAAAGTATCAATGATCATTTTACATCTTTTGTTATTAGAAGTAGCTTTTTTTAAAGGCTGGAGCAAACCAACAGGGGCAGACTGATATAAAGCTATTTGGAGTTTGAAAATGACCAAGATAGAACATTCCAAGTGAAGTTTGGAGCTAACAGAGGAATGAACAAGCTAGGAAACTGCACCCTAGTGTCTTTGTTTACAAAATGAAGAAAGTGCCTTGTATAAGGTCCCAAAGTTCTTCTGGTGGGACAGCATTCCAGAATTGCTCCTCTATGATTGCTGCCTTGGGGCATATGGTTTTTGTGGCGGGGGAGTACTTTCACAGGTGACCATTAGACACACCCAAGGCCAGGGCAGTAGGAAGCCAATCCTTCAAATCTAAATGCATTCTAAATACCCTTTGGCTCGACGTCTTCTGATGTGGCACTGTAGGATCAGCACTGGACTGTTCAAACCCACCAGCTGCTGCTCAGAAACCCACTCAACAGCATTTAACAACAATAAACCCTTTGGCCAATGTTTGAAGCCCTCTCTTAAAAGGGGGTTTAATATGTGTGAACATTGGATATTCTAGGATTTTAAGGTTGAAAAAGACTCAAGCACTTAGAAGTTAGTACTCATCCAGACATTCTAGAGTATTCTCAGAAACTCGAGATTTCCCTTTCATCGCTTAGCAATGATGAAAGTGTTGTTGGTTTTGCTTTTAGTTTTCCTTTTGTCTGTGTTTATGAGGATTGTTTGTTCCTTATTCAGGCTTTGCCAACATATCTACAGAGTTGTTCCTGGCTCTCTCATTTGTAATTTATATATAATCTTCACCACTTGTTTCTGAGATTATTCCAAGAGAACAGGAAGTCAACTGACTGTCCAGTTCTCTTTACACCCAGGCCAGTCCCTTTCCGGGGACATCTGCAACATTCACCCCTCCCTCATGCCTTTTGATCTTTCTAGGACTGAATGGGGGCTCATTTCTTCAGTGAGAGTGTTCTCAGAATATCTTGTTATGTCACTCGCAAGCCCATGGGCATGACTCATATTCATAGTTGTTTAATTAATAGCAAGAGAACATTCCAGAAGGGGCAGAGGTCTCTTTGGGTACAGAAAGAGGGTACAACCACCCCTTCAAATGAGGCTGAGAGGTAATTAAATGGGCAAATACTTTTTTTTTAAACCACAGGCATAAAATAACATCAATATTGGAAAATATATATATTAATTACACCCGAGAAGCACTTTCCTTTAGAAAAAAAGCAACAAAAAAACCCCACCAACAGTCTGTTTAAAGCCTAGCGAAATGTTGTATGTCCTGTTTAGAAATATGTAGGTCAGTTCTGGGCTATCTGGTTTTAGGCAGTAAGACTTTTGGTTTAAGTAGAAAGGTGTTTCTTTGCTTCTAAGATTTGCTCAATGTATGTTGTTAGCTGCTCTTAGTGAATTCTAGCTCATAACAAGCTCATTTATGTAGATTAGGTGTAGTCCCTAAGGTTTTCAAGGCTGTGAATTTTCAGAAGCAAATTGCCACATTTTCAAGGTGCCTCTGAATGTGGGTAGGTGTTAGTATATGCTTTTCAACTTTTCTCTCTTTTATATCCTATTGGGTTAACATGGTCCGTTGGCAATATAATTGAGAAAATGAAGTTTTAGCTACCACTCCAGCCTTGATTCATCAATTCTTGAGGTCTCTAACTAAATATTTACCTTCTGAAAAATTTCTCATCAATAGAGATCACAGAGGGATATACAGAAGTTGAAATAGCAGTTGGAAGGGTGCAGCTATTTGGCACAAGGACAACTGAACTATCATTGTAAGGTGCCTTCAAGTCGGTTCCAATTTATAATGACCCTGTGCACAACAGAACGAAACACTGTCCCATCTTGCACCATCGTCACAATTTTTTGAGCCCTTCGCTGTCCACACTGTGTCCTTCCATCTTGTTGGAGGTCTTACTCTTTTTGGCTGACTTTCCACTTTATAAAGCATGATGTCCTTTTCTAGGGACTGGTCCCTCCTGATAACATGTCAATAGCCTTAGAGACTAAGTCTCGCCATCCTGGCTTCCAAAGGGCAGATTGACTGCACTTCTTCCAAGACAGATTTCTTTGTGGGGTTTTTGTTTTGTGTGTGTGTTTGTGTGTGTGTGTTTTCTGACAGTTCAT